AATACTGTAATTTAATATTGTACTGGCAGTCATGAGCTTATGTTATTTCCATTCGTTTGGACAATAAAGAAATTTGTATTTTTTGTCACTCTACTGTTGAAGAATATGCCTACTATGGTGAATTGAAAGCCCGAAAGTGAAAATAATTATGAAGTAGTTATATTTCAATAAGTAGGATTTTATGTTATTATGACGTAAAACTTGCTAGGATTGATAAGAATATTGATGGGTAATAAATGAGCTGAGCGAAATATGAGCGATGCTCCCTGGATCGAAAGCCATTAGCTGCACTTGAATCCTTAGTGAAAACACCATGGAGTACTAATTATACTAAAAAAGCACGTTCAAGTCTCTTTACTTTACTCCCAGTGAAATCATGACATTATTACTCATTTTAGTTAAATAAATACTATGCAGTATATCAGATTCTGCTCAATCACACAACTAGCTTAAAGAACATATCCTAAATTGCCCCTAATAGGCCTAGGCCTATGTCGTTCATTCCTCATATCATGAATTGGATATTTAAAACAATTAATGTTTTAAATATCCAACGAAAATCTATAAAAAAAATATATAACGGAAAAGGAAGATGTAAATCTATTACATTATTATTATTAAACATTAAATTCATTTCAATTATATATCTTTTACATTATGTTAGTGAATTTGAGGAAGTTGTGAGTTCAATCCTTTCCACTTGAAATCTGGAATTTCCTCTTAAATCTGCAGCACCAAGACACATTCCAAATATCTATTTACCGGGCCGACATTGATGTTTTAATGTGGCATGGTGGAAAAGGTGCTGATAATACAACATGTCAGCCTATTTCCCCTGAAAGTTATTGCATACTGCCGAACCGTGGAAACTACCATCAAAAAGGACAATTAAAACATGAATAAAATAAACACTCAATGCTATACAGAAGTTTAATTAATATTTTATTGCACATATAGAATGTATTGTACATATTGCACATATTTAATATATTATATTATATTATAATATATACATACATATATATATATATATATATATATATATATTGTATATAGTTTCAGGTATTTTTTACAGGTAGGTCTTTATAAAATATGACTGGATTTTTCGCATGTTTTTGCTGCTAAAACGTGAACAGGTCACATGAATTAATAAATTTAGATTAATTAACTTTCAAAAAGTTATGTACATTATTTCTTAAACTTTATCGTATAAAGCATTTGTCTCATTACCATTATCATATTTATTTATTTATATAACACGTTGATATAACCCATCTCCAATATGGGAATATTATCTGGGGAACATAAATGTAAACTGGAAACCCTTTGGAACCTTCAGAAAAAGGCTACCAGGGTCATAACTTTCTCAAACCCAAGGCAGACATCGAAACCATTATTTAAAAGATTAAATGTACTCAATATCCACCCAAGTTATAGGGTTTATTTCAAATGTTAGACGTGGCGTGTTCTCACAACGTGTTCTATATATTTCCCTATATTAGTCTAGATCCTTGCCCGATTACGTCTAGAAAGGGAGTTTACAGTTAAATTGGTAGAGTACGGAGGTGTGTAAAAGTTGGTCATTTATTAAATCAATCAATCAATCAACAACATTTATTTCTGACGTACATATCCATACGAATAAATATAATTAAAAAGAAAACTATATACTGTATGTAGGTGCTGTACAAGTTAATATCTTGAGCTAATACAACAGCAAATGCCATCTATGAAACATCTTTGAAAATATCAATGTAGAAGTAACTATGTCTGATACATAAGTGTTTTCTGATACATAAATTCTTGACAGCAAGTCGTATACCGATTTTCTTACAAAGACAAAGATAGACATGATCTTAGTCCACCAAGAGTAACCGCAATACATTATTGTTGCATACTTTTAACGAATTGATTGATTTACTCTGATAGGGGCTTATCTCTTATAAAAATCTTTTGCATGTAGGAGTATGTGTCTCTATGTTTTAGTCATTTAAAATACGTTCACAAAGCGATACAGTTTTCTGTTTTTAACGACAGAGAGCCCTAGACAATTGTTCTCAGAAATCTTTTATTAAGCTACTTCCACACTCAAGATCGACTATCAATTAGTGTATCACATACTAAAACCAAGTAGCCATGGTTGGAAGACTTCTTTAACCAATTTTCTTCAGTAATCACGAAGGTCACTGTCGTTGTTCAAGGAGAAAATTTAAAAATTAATTGTGTTTTCCAATTCGCAAAGTGGTATTATCAGCAGTTGATGCATTATATGGCCATCGAAGGTTAGTTTATTCATCCAAATTGTATAAAAAAAACTTCATAATTATTGCATACTAAGCATATAAAAATAATTACATATATATATATATATATATATATATATATATGTACATACTATATATCTTTATTATTCAGAGTACATTGTCTTTATAAGGCCTATACATCACTGTCATCCTACACATACAAACTAGAGAATATTATATAATGATAATTTTTTTTAGAAAAACGTCGAATTTTTTAAAGTGTTATAATCAGCAGTTGATGTAGTGAATGCCTGTCGAAGGTTAGTTAATTCATCAAAATTGTAAAATGAATTCGTAATTATATGAACCATGCAGCCTCTGTGGACTAATGGTTATGACGCTCGCCCTGACCGCGAGCCCATACAAAAATTTTCTATAGAATTCTATTAAAAAAATTCTATAGATTTTCTATATAGTATTCTATAGATTATCTATAGAAAATTTTATATAAATTCTATAGAATATTTCAAACAAATTCTATAGAAAATATATTTTTTCTATAGAAAACTTTGTAAATCTCTATGGAAAATAACAGCATTTCTATAGAAAACAACAAGTGTTTCTATAGAGAGTAATGCTGTTATAATTTCTTTTCTATAGAAAACTATTATTTTCTATAGAAATTGACAATACTTCTATAGAAAAGAACAGCATTTCTATAGAAATTATTGCAGATATATAATTTTTTCTATAGAAAACTATGTAAATCTCTATGGAAAATAACAGCATTTCAATAGAAAGTAACAGTTATAATTTCTTTTCTATAGAAAACTATTATTTTCTATAGAAATTCACAATACTTCTATAGGAAAGAACAGCATTTCTATAGAAAGTAACGCTGTTATAATTTCTTTTCTATAGAAAACTATTATTTTCTATAGAAATTGACAATACTTCTATAGAAAAGAACAGCATTTCTATAGAAATTATTGCAGATATAATTTTTTCTATAGAAAACTATATAAATCTCTATGGAAAATAACAGCATTTCTATAGAAAACAACACCGATATAATATATTTTCTATGGAAAACTGTATTATTCTCTTTAGAAATGTAAAGAATTTCTTTAGAAATAATGCTGATATATTATATTTTCTATAGGAAAAAAAAACAGCATTTCTATAGAAAATAACACTGATAAAATTAATTTTCATAGAAATTCACAGCACTTCTCTAGAAAATAACGCTGATATAATTTTTTTTATAGAAAACTGCATCGTTCGATCAATAAAAAATTGTTTTCACGAATAAAGAAAAAGTGTAAAAATAAAAAATCATAGGCCTACAAGATGATTGTAATGTACAAATGTGTTTTGGTAGTTCATGGCACTGCAGGAAACATGAAATGTTTGAACCCACTGTACAGAAATCCCAACAAAATGTATTCATTCTCAAGATCTTTATTTAACACACATTAAACATATATATCACAGTTCAAACAACCAAACTAAAATGCTTGCATTGTATCATTTAAATAGTAGAAAAAAAAAAAACGGGATTCAATATCTTAAAAGAATAAACTGCATTGAATTTGACTAGCATTATGAAGTCACACGATGTAGCACTAGTGGTATTGTGCAAACATATAAAGATTTATAAAAATAATTTTATATAATAGCTGTATTTACAGTAAATTGCAGGCCTATATAAAATATAAATATATTAAATAACATCAAAGTACTGTAAGCGATATTGATAAGGGTAGATGAAAGAAAAAGTTTTACATATTTTTATATACTATTACAGTACAGTATTGGATTTAACTTTACACACATTTAATAGATGTGAAAGACTCAAAAAAGAAATTTCAAAACAAAAGGTGGATAACCCTGCACTGTATGGATGGTTCATAATTATCAACAAATGTATAAACAGTATGCTAAGGGGGAAAAGGCCTAATACTAAATACAAAATTACATGAAAAGAATTTACAAAAGCTTAAAATATTGATTGAAATCGGTTTTCTAAATTTAATAACATGCCAATATGGATATATTTAAACCTAATTATGTATCTATGTACCCATTGAAAAAAAAGGCCATAGAGAACGGTATTGCAAAATCAACATTTTCCATGTATGTACACTTTAAAGGGGTTGTGGTGGCAAAAAAGAGTACTCTTTTAATACACTATGTTTTCAATTGTGATTGGCCCCTAAGTTTAAACTTTAAAGAAAAAATATACTCAGGTACTGTACTAAACCTACTAGAGCTACAAAATAAAATACAGTACTGAAATAATTGCTACTCACATAAATAAGAAAATATTGATTTTATGTACTGTACTGTACTGTACTGTATATACAATAATATGGCAAGACAAAAATATTTAAACGAATGTTATTTTTAAAGAAAATATGACAAGGGTAGATATAATTATTGATGTGAAAGTAGCATTTCTATTTGATAAAGCCAAGCTCTGGAGGACATAAATTTGTTGATATGTTGTAGAACTAATCTTTCTAAGCCTCAAAGTACATTTGACAAAAAACTTGGAAACAGTTAATGAGAGAGATACAGATTTTTGAATATTTAAAAACTGGGGAAAACTAAGGAGGGAAAAAGGGTGGTTATGTCTCTTTTTCCCTCAGTTTTTAAATATTAAAAAATCTGAATCTCATTAACCGCTTCAAAGTTTTTCATCTTTGGGTTTTAAAAAAATCAGTTTTACAACATAAAAAAAAAAACAAAAAAAAAAAAAACAAAACTTTTCTGAACCTAACTTTAAGACGGCCTACACACTGAAACATCAAATATAATAAAATACTACACAAATCTAATAAAACGAAGTTTGGAATTAAAGTTAAATAACAAATTTAATAACAAAAATGCATACATGGTATTCCCAATTTTTAGGCTTGTTTATTTTCTTTATTCTGTTTGGCAGAGACTGCCTCAAAAGAGTAGTTGAAGCCTCAGGAAATCTGGGGGTAAAAAAAATGCAAACAAATTGAATACTCTTATAGGCTT